ATCCAGAGAGAAGCAAAGGCTTGGATATTGAATATGCTTCAGGTTGAGGGCAACAAAGTTTTGACTGACGAGAGTTTTCTGGTCATTGGAAGTGTGCGGTGAGGTGGAAAGGGAGTGGAGTTAAGGCCATTATCAAATTAGCCATGATCCTACTGAATGGCAAAATAGACTGAAGCAGTCGGGCTCCACCTGCTCTTTTTTTTTTTTCCTGACAGTTATGATAATGTACTCTTTGCACCAAGGCATGTCCTTGGCTTTCCATACACTTTCCGTATCTCTATTCTGATAAAGTCTTTATTTGGCCATAGCTACTTTTAGTTTTCAAGCTATTTATTATTGATATTCTTTTTTCCTTTGTCTTCCTTTTTTTTTCCTTCTTGGAATACTCCGTCCTCTCTTATAAGCCCTTTACTGCTTACAATATGTCCTGCCTAGTCCCTCTGCCTTTTTCTAATGACATTAAGCTTTCTTTGTTTTTGTTTTTCATTGGCATTTCTGCACTGTGGGGATTCTATCAACTCATTGAGTCTGTACTAATCATCCAAAGAACATCCCACCCAGTGCCCACCCCAATCCCGCATTCCCATAACCCTGCATTGGGATTTTACTATGGCTAACACTGCTAATGTGCATATCCCTGGACATTATGGGCAATTTTGTTTTACCGATCCATCTAACCTGCACATCTTTGGACTGTGGGAGGTAACTGGAGCACCTGGAGGAAACCCACACAAACATGAGAGCCTGGAAATTCCACACTGTGTCTTTGTTTTTTCACTCTTCATAGCACTCCATTTGTTAGTTTTTCTGTCTGGCAGATCCTTTCCATTCTCTTCAAACCCATGTTTTAAAGCTATGGCTAGTTGGTCTCCTGCTGCCAGTCCTTGCCTCAAATCCTCACAGAACAATTCGAAATTACACTCTGTACAAGTCGTTCAAGTTGTTTGTTACCAACTGAAAAGCTAAATAGTCTCCTCTTACCAAGTATGTTCCTTCCCATTACCACCCTTGATTTTTATTTCACTTCCATTTGCAGAAATTATGCTTCCTAAATATTTGAATTCTTGGAGCTGTTCTAGTTTTCTTCCTTTTGTGGATAAAATAATATTTATTGGTGGCATTGTGCATTACATTACCATGGTTTTCCCTTTCTTTCATTTCATTAGTCATTTTCACTCCCATTCCAAAATTCCTGCCTGCTGTTACTGCTGTATCCACTAGTTCTTGTGATTCTTCTGTTTTTGTTTTCAAGTGTTTTACGTAAGAACTAGGAGCGGGATTAGGCCATCTGGCCCTTCGAGTCCATTCCGCCATTCAATACGATCATGGCTGATCTTTTTGTGGCCTCAACTCCACTTACCCACCCTATCACCATAACCCCTAATTTCTTTACTGTTCAAAAAATTACCTATCTTAGCTTTTAAAACATTCAATGAGGAAGCCTCAACTACTTCACTGGGCAGGGAATTCCATAGATTCACAATCTTTTGGTTGAAGAAGTTCCTTCTCAATTCAGTCCTAAATCTGCTCCCCCTAATTTTGAGGCTATGTCCTCTTGTTCGAGTTTCGCGCTGCTTCTATCTTACCTATTCCGTTTGTAACTTTGTTTCGAGAAGATTCCCCCCCTTTCCCCCCCCCCCCCACTCCCCCAATCAATCTTCTAAATTCCAATGAATATAATCCCAGTCTACTCAATCTGTCCTGATAAGCTAACCTTGCCAACTTGGAAATCAACCTAGTGAATCTCCTCTGCGCCCCCCTCCAGTGCCACTACATCCTTTCTCAAGGAGACCAAAACTGCATGCAGTACTCCTGTACAGCTGTATACAGCCCCTATACAGCTGTATAGGGGGCCTCACTGGCACCCTATACAGCTGTAATATAACCTCTCTGCTTTTAAACTTACCCCACCAGCAATGAGGGACAAAATTCCATTTCCCTTAATTACTTGCACCTGCATAAGGACACTCAGCAAGCTACAGTTTTTTTACCTTTCTAATAATAGTCCTTTTTACTGTTATTCCTACCAAAATGGATGACTTCACATTTATCAACATTGTCCTCTATCTGTTAGACCTTTCCCCACTCACCTAAACTATCTATATCCCGCTGCACACTTTGCTCCACCACTCATCTTAGTGTCATCTGCCAACTTTGACACACTACACGTGGTCCCCAACTCCAAATCATCTGTGTAAATTGTAAACAACTGCGGTCCCAACGCTGATCCCTGAGGCACATCACTAGTCACTGATCACCAACCAGAAAATAGCTCATTTATCCCCACTCTTTGCTTCCTGTTAGTTAACCAATCCTCTATTGTACTAATACATTGCCCTTAACACTGTGCATCTTTATCTTATGCAGCAGTCTTTTGTGTGGCACCTTGTCGAATGCCTTTTTAAAATCTAGATACGCCATGTCTACTGGGTGCCCGTTGTCCACTGCACTCATAATGTCTTTGTAGAATTCCAATAAACTAGTTAAACATGACCTGCCCTTCATGAACCCATGCTGCGTCTGCCCGTATCTAGATAGGTAATTTCTATCCAGATGCCTTGCTATTTCTTCATTGGTAGATTCAAGCATTTTCACCACTACAGAAGTTAGGCTAACCGGCCTATAATTCCCCATCTTTTGTCTGCCTCCTTTTTTAAACAGTTATGTCGCATTTGCTGTTTTCTGATCTGTTGGAACTGCCCCAGAGTCCAGCAAATTTTGGAAAATTACCACAAGCGCAATTGCTTTTGCTCCTGCCATCTTTTTAGAACCCTGGGATGCTTTCCATGAGTGCCAGCAGACTTGACTATCTTTAGCTTTGTTATCTGCAAATCAAACTGATGTCATTGTCAAACCCCCCTCAAAAAATTCTCTGTATTCTGTGTCCTCAAACATTTCTTTGATCATTGTTTTCCATAGACATTGAAGAGACTATGATAAACAGCGCTCTTGCTGAACTCCTCTTCCAATTACAGTTGCTTCCGTAGCTACTTGCGCATTGCTGTTTGTCCCGTGCACAGATTTTTCTTCTGAATTGTCTACTTTTTCCAGGCTACCCCTGTCAAGGGTTGAATCTAGCCAAAACAAAATTGGCAAAATAAGTATATAATTTCTGTCCACACTTTAAACTGCATTCATTCATTAATTTTATGCTGATTGCTTCTCTTGACCCTTCCTCTGTGTGTAAACTAAGCTGGTTATTTGTATCTTTCAAACCACTCAGTGGCTTTGTTATATTTCTTAACCGATGCATCAATAGTCGGACTAAATGTGATAGTTAGAGCATCAGCATATATTTCCAATGTCTTTTGTTTTAATGAATTGTAAATATACATAGAACAACTGCCTGCTTTGCCTTACCACAAGATGAATTATTTTTCAGATTTCTTTTCTGGTCAATAATAGTATTTGTAGCAAGTGCTTGATTGAGGCAGTAGTTTAACAATGGTACAGTTAATTATAATGAGATCAAATGAAGTGACATCAGTAAAAAACATTGTATACTTTACATAACAAGTGTTGCAGAAGCTGAACATTTTTATATTATGTGATCTAGAGTCTTGGCAAGAACTTTGCTTGATGCATAGTGAAAATGAATTTCCCATCAAGATATCAATGTGAAAATTATGCTAACTTTTCCATTTTAATTTGCATCGTTAATAAGGAAAATCCATATTCCCATTAAATTTTAAATAGCTAAGGATTAGGCTTTTATGGTCTTTTCCATACACTCTTAATGGAATGAGAATCATTTGTAGCAACATTATTTGTTTTGCTATGACAGATGTTGTATCTTTATTTTTTTCTCTCCCAAACAATGTTGACAACTTCATTGGTGAACTTAAGAAAAATTTGGAGATATTCTAATTGAATTTCCACATCATATTAAGTCTTGTGGAGATCTTTATTTTCCAAATTGATTTTGTGTAATATAATTGAAAAGTCCTCATAGTGACATAAGACCTCAAGTTCTGCAACATCTCAGTTTTGCATACAGAAATAGTAAGAACCGCCGATGCTGGAGTCAGAGATAACACTGTGCAGCTGGAGGAACACAGCAGGCCAGGCAGCATCAGAGGAGCAGGAAAGCTGACGTTTCGGGTCAGGACCCTTTTTTCTGAAGAAGGGTCCCAACCCGAAATGTCAGCTTTCCTGCTCCTCTGATGCTGCCTGGCATGCTGTATTCCGCCAGTTCCACACTGTTATCAGTTTTGCATACAATGATTTTGACAATTTGAACCATGTCCAGAAAGATATGCACTTTTTTAGAAATGAAAGTTTCTAATTTCCTCAAAGCAACAGCAGGTGCAAATAACATAACATAACATCTCTTAACTGAAAGAGTTGGGGCTTGCTGGAGGGCCACGTGAAGTTTTATAAAATGATGTTTTTGGTTAAGCCATATTTGTATAAACTGTACACTTGTATTGAGTGGCCAATTTGTGCTGTTTTAAACTGAGCAGAAAGCTTTAAGTGTCGAGTTGCTTATTTCAAGGAGGCAGTTATTGCAGGAACGTGGGGAAGACTCGGGATGTAAGACAGGCTGGATTGCTTTCAGAAGACTCACATAGACTCAAAGGGCTAACTGACCTTTTTCAATGGTGTCTGAAAGAACTGTGGATACTGTAAATCAGGAATAAAAAAAGAAGTTGCTGGAAAAGCTCAGCAGGTCTGGCAGTATCTGTGAAGAAAATAACAGTTAACTTTTTGGATCCGGTGACCCTTTCTCAGAACATTTTGAAAAGTTAACTCTGATATTTTCTTCAAAGATGCTGCCAGACTTGCTGAGCTTTTCCAGCAGCTTCTGTTTTTGTTTCTTTTTTCAGTGGTGTATTGTTCTTTTGGTCCTTTAAGAGGTCAATATGAAAAAATGCTAATTTATGCTTTGTGCATTGATTCTGTATGCAGGATTCACAGTCTAAATTTTGGTATAGGGTAACAAGACAAAAAGTGAGAAACTATAATTATTTTAATAATGAAACATTTTTCAAACAAGCTAACATGTTAGGCTATATATTTCAGTGTCTCAAGCTTTACGAGAGAACACCTATCCATTTTTGGCAATGATTATGCTGAAAGAACAAAGAATGATGGTAGTCGGTCGTTTAGAAGGTCTTCTTCGGGCTGAAGATTTTGTCAATCAACTGACCTTTATTATGGATGCTAATGCTACATACTTGGTAACAGAACGACTTGATAGGTATACGGAATATTACTTTGTTTCTGTAAGGAAATGTTGCTGTCAATTTTATATAGAATGTTGTGTTTAGGTAATAAGACAATGTTGAAGTGTGTTTGGTTATCTGGGAGTGATATATCTTCAAACTAGTTCTTACCTTTATTTTTTTCATATATAGTAAGATTAATATTGGAAATAAACCACTTTCAATTGTAAGTAGACATTCCCAAGTTGGGATTGGCACAGCTAAGTACTGTGTAAATCCACCTCTCTGTCCAAAAGTAGTCTCCTCTTGCAGAAGTTCGATCAGTTAGGACTGACCTTAAACTCGTGCTTCAGTGGTAAAAGACTAATTTCTAACTTAATGTACCATGAGCAAACTTTATTACAATGTGTGTAGCGGTTGTTAATTCTAGTTGAAAAGACTGTGGGATAAATTATATATTTAAATAAAATCAAATTTTTAATTTTTTAACTAACTAAAGATTTTAAATGAGCTGCACCATTGGGAAGGGAATGAAAGAGAATTCAATGAACTTAAAAGTTTTGAGATTGAACTTAAAATGGGAATTTATAACCCTTGATATATCATTGAAGCTCTTTAATTTCCTTGGATCCAATAAACTTTGATTAAAATTCACTCCGCATTGGTACACTGAATTGATGTCACTGATTGTATGACTGACGACTGGTCTGGTGCCTGAGGTGACTAGAAGTTGAACAAATATTGTGATGATGCTCATTAGCGAGAACAGTTTTCAGTAACAAATCACATGCTTTGCTGGTTATACCTTCAAAAGCAAGGGATTTTCTTCAGGTGGTGACTGCTATGAGGCAAGTGGGGGAATGAAAAACAGTGGCCCATTTTATTTTTGAGCTCTGTATACCTATTTTGATGTAGTCTGAAGGAAATTCATTTTTAACCATTATTTCCAGAGAATCCCTAACAGTGTGGAAGCAGGCCATTCACCCTCCGAATAACATCCCATCCAGATTCACTCCCCTACCCTAACCCTGCATTTCCTATGGCTAATCCACCTAGCCTGTGCATCCGTGGATACTTTGCGCATTTTAGCATGGCCAATCCACCTAACCTGCATATCTTTGGGCTGTGGGAGGAAACCGGACCATCCGGAGGCGATCCACACAGACAGAGGAGAATGTGCAAAGTTCACACAGACAGTTGCCTGAGGCTGGAATCGAACCTGAGTCCCTGGCGCTGTGAGGCAGCAATGTTAACCACTAAGCCACCGTGCCACCCATGAAAATAAATTTATTTTTTGCTGACGCCCAAATGCTTCAGTCAGGATTTGCTGCAGCTTGAATTGGAATGCAGTGTTAATAATCTGACAGCTGATTGTATAAATATTATTAGTTTGAAGCTGATTACATGAATATTTGATACTCTTGTACTACCTTCGATCTACAGAGAGGAAAGGAATCAGACACAAGTGTTAAGACAGCAGCAAGATGAAGCTTATTTGGCTTCACTTCGTGCAGACCAGGAAAAAGAAAGGAAGAGAAAGGAGGCACAAGAAAGGAGGAGAAAGGAAGAGGAAGATGTCAGGCAACAGTTACTTGCTGAAGAAAGAAGGCAACAAGTAAGCAGTGTTCCTAGTTAAGAAACTGCATGAATCTGTTTACTCTGCTTTCAGTGTAGGCATATGTAGAATTATAAAAATTTCTATATGGATGTGGAGGTTTAACTGCTAACTAATGGTTTCCTCATGACTGAATTGGTTAAGGCAGAAAGTACTTGAATCATGTAGATCAATATGGTTCCTGGTTCAATCCCTGTTTTAATTTACCTCCACTGTGTTTTGAATAGGAAAGCTGACCTCCGTACTAACAGGTTAAAAAGATTTAGGCAGGATTTTGTTTCTGTTTATTTGCATCAACAGCTATTGGAATACAGTTTTTAGCATTGGTTGAATACAAGATCTGATTGACTGGCGTTGACTGAAAATGGCCATGATTTGAACACTGCATGTGCTTCATCACCGAATGAATTTTGTTTGTAATAATCCATTTAATAATGTTAGAAATTTCGAGCTGATATTCATACCATCCTGTGTTAAATGTTATCTTGCAAATCTGTAAATTAAGGAAGAAGCATTTTTCTTTTTGTCATTGCAGAATTTGCAGGAAGAGAAAGAACGCAAGTCTGAATGTCTTCCCCCTGAGCCTTTTCCTGACAATCCAGACAGTGTTAAAATTGTCTTTAAGTTGCCAAATGATACTCGAGTGGAGCGACGATTTCTGTTTACCCAGTCATTAACAGTAAGAGTCTTCCAAGTTTCCCATTTACATAATGAAAATGTTCTTTTTTCCTTAAATAATGTTCCTCAAGTCCTTGGAAGTAGAAAAAAAACTTATGAAACGGCATTCAATGCAGTTTGTTATTGGCACTCCTATAAAATACAGTAGTTATTTTTAATTAACTGCAGTAAGCTGTTTTTGTAGTTGTAGGAAAAACAATTTGTTTAACTTTTTAAATTATTTGGTTGTGAGAAGTTGCCTTTAATGACTAGGCCGGCATTTATTGTCTATCCCTAACTGTTTGCCTGTGAGAATGTGGTAAGGAGCTTGATGTTTGTGAGGACAGCATGAAACAGGCAGATATGCTCGAACAGGTTGATGTTAGGAAGGAGCATGTGCTAGAAATTTTGAAAAACATGAGGATAGATAAGTCCCCTGGGCCAGACAGGATATACCCAAGGTTACTACGGGAAGCGAGGGAAGAGATTGCTGCCCCTTTGGTGATGATCTTTGCATTCTCACTGTCCACTGGAGTAGTACCAGATGATTGGAGGGTGGCAAATGTCATTCCCTTGTTCAAGAAAGGGAATAGGGATAATCCTGGGAATTACAGACTGGGTCAGTCTTAGGTCTGTGCTGGGCAAATTATTAGAGAGGATTCTGAGAGAGTATTTATTTTTATTTAGAAAAGCACAGTTTGATTAGAAATAGTCAGCATGGATTTGAGAGGGGCAGGTCATGCCTCATAAGCCTTATTGACTTATTTGAGGATGTGACAAAACCCATTGATGATGGTAGAGCAGTGGATGTGGTGTATAATAGATTTTAGCAAGGCATTTGATAAGGTTCCCCATGGTAGGCTCATTCAGAAAGTAAAGAGGCATGGGATTCGGGGAAATTTGGCTGTCTGGATACAAAACTGGCTGTCCAGTAGAAGACAGGGTGGTCGTAGATGGAAAGTATTCAGCCTGAAGCTCGGTGACCAGTGGTGTTCCACAGGATCTGTTTTGGGACCTCTGCTCTTTGTGATCTTTATAAATGACTTGGATGAGTAAGTGGAAGAATGGTTTAAGTTTGCCGTTGACACGAAGGCTGGTGGAGTTGTGGACAGCGTGAAAGGCTGTTGTAGGTTGCAACGGGACAGTGACAGGATGCAGAGCTGGGCAAAGAAGTGGCAGATGGAATTCAACCCGGAAAAGTGTGAAGTGATTCATTTTGGAAGGTCGAATTTGAATGCAGAATACAAGGTTAATGGCAGGATTCTTGGCAGTGTGGTAGAACAGTGGGATCTTGGGGTCCACGTCCATAGATCCTTCAAAGTTGCGACCCAAGTTGATAGGGTTGTAAAGAAGGCGTATGGTATGTTGGCTCTCATTGACAGGGGAATTGAGTTTAAGAGCTGCGAGGTTATTCTGCAGCTCTATTAAAACCCTGGTTAGGCCGCAGTTGGAATATTGTGTTCAGTTCTGGTCGTCTCATTATAGGAAGGATGTGGAAGCTTTTGAGAGGGTGCAGAAGAGATTTACCAGGATGCTGGCTGGACTGGAGGGCAGGTCTTGAGGAAAGGTTGAAGGAGCTAGGGCTTTTCTCATTGGAGCGAAGAAGGATGAGAGGTGACTTGATAGAGGTGTGTAAGTTGATGAGAGGCATAGATAGAGTGGATAGCCAGAGACTTTTTCCCAGGACGGAAATGACTATTATGAGGGGGCATAATTTTAAGGTGCTTGGAGGAAGGTATAGGGGAGATGTCAGAGGTAGGTTCTTTACACAGACTGGTGGGCATATGGAACGCGCTGCCGGCAGTGGTAGTGGAGTCAGATACTTTAGAGACTTTTAAGCGACTCTTGGATAGGCACGTGTAGGGTATGCAGGGTAGTTTGATCTCCAGTAGGATAATAGGTCGGTACAGCATCGTGGGCCAAAGGGCCTGTACTGTGCTGTACTGTTCTATGTTCTATGAGCTGCCATCTTGAACTGCTGCTGTCCATGTTGTGTAGGTACACCCACAGTGCTATTAGGAAGGGACTCATACCCAGCAACTGAGAAGAGCGGCAACGTAGTTCCAATTCATTTTGATGTTTGATATGGGGAGCTTGCAGGTGCTATATTGTTCTCCAGCACCTGCTGTCCTTGTCTTTGTCCTTCCAGTGGTTAGTGGTTTTTGTTGGAAGGTTCTCTCAAAGGAGCCATGATAACTGTGTCTTGGTAGATGGATGCAGTATATTGATGCAGGGAATGAATGTTTAACATAGTGGACTGTTTTGACCTGGATAGTGACAAGCTTTTTGAGTGTTGTTGGAGCTGCACTCCTCGGGTAAGTGGTAAAGTTATAAACTCTTTTTTTTTTTTTTCTTTCTTATGATAGTCTTAAGTTTTTTTTATTATATTTTCTGTATTCCAAATACTATGGCAACAAACCATGCAGCAAGGTTATTTAAACACTGGCCTCCACATGCAATATTTTTGTTCACAAATTGGACCTAAAGACTGTTATTTCAACAGCTGCTTGCAGGAGTTTGCACACTACATCTCCCATCAATCCTTTGGCCTTTCTAATCTTATTTCCGGAATGGCTGTGGCAGGAACAAAGCAAATTGCCTTAAAATAAAGGTGGTGAAAATTGGGCAGAGTTCCCAGTAGTTCAGTATTCAGTAATAGTTTCTTGACCTTGGCTTGTGTAGATTTTGTGGATGTCAGAATTAAACTTATCCACCCTCAAATAGTTGACATTCTGCTGGAAATCACCATCCGAGCTTATAAATGATTAATAGTCAGGAGAATGAAGTATTGGTATGTAGCTAGCACGCAATGAGTCAACTGAAGGAGAGATGGGAAAGAAAAGGAGAAAATATAGTTGCAATTTTTTAAATACAATATCAAAAATTGTTTCTTCTGGAAATTCATATTTTTTTCTTTCATTGCAGGTAATATATGATTTCTTGTTCTCCTTGAAAGAAACTCCTGAGAAATTTCAAATAGTTGCTAACTTTCCACGCAGAGTACTACCCTGTTTGCCCACAGAGAGAGAGCCAAATCCACCCACCCTGCAGCAAGCAGGATTGAGTCGCTGTGAAGTCTTGTTCGTTCAAGATCTTACCGATGATTGAACCAGAAGTTAACCATGGGATCAATTTTTTAATAGCTGCACAGTATAACGGATCACAGACTTTCTCACAAACGAGCCAAGTTTTTGCTGCGTTGGTTGGCAAATGTCTATGCAGCTAGGTCGCTCGCCATTTCCTGGGATGAACTGCACTGTCCATCACTATGCTATTTTAAAAAAAAAACTCAAAAGCCCTGCGATGTTGAGTGGTTTTTGATCAGAAGGCATAAAAGTAAATTAACCCATTTCTCTACCTGCATAGACCCTAGATTACACCATCGGAGAACCCTTACCCTTTTTTCTGCTAATTTTGTTTTCACATTTACCTATATTTATGTTGTATTTCTATTAAAATATGAAAAAAGAAAGACCAAAGGAGGGTTGGCTGTTATTGAATTGTTTGAACCGAGACTGGTTTAAGTTCTTAATTGCCATGGCTTTTGCTGTGGTGAAGCCTCAGTAAGTAGTTTGTCAGCCTATAGTGCCTGTGGTAACTAGAGCCTGCTCCATGTTTAATACCTGTGCAGGCTTATTGTACTCGAGGTGTAATTTATTCCAACAGTATAAATTAAAATCATTTTAGAATTTTATTGTGTTGAATCATTTTTCTATGCATATTTCTTTGTGAACCATTTTCTGTAATTTCATTACAATCGATGGTAGCTGTTTGGCCAAATGTACTGGCATTAAAAGATTATATTGTCTCCACTCATATTTGTTCCTTTTTGAGCTTTGTATCATGAGTAATGTTTAGCTTTTTAGTCTTTCTCAATTACTAAACTGACATGTACAGTTATTTGTCGATACTTCAAATTATTTTTTGTTAGCTTTTCTGCACCTATTTATGAAGTGCTGTAAATCTTCCTTAGAAAATAAAGATTTATTTATAGCTTTGTGTGAGAACAAGACCAACAAATTGGAGAATGACCCCCTTTGATAACATGTGCTTGATGGCCTTATGATTCAGTATATGTACTGTTTCTTCAACGCTGTTTAGTAGGGTATATTGTTTAGGATTATTGCACTTATTTCACTAAATGGCATCTTAACCATTTGCATGTTGTCCATTTGTTTCTTGTTCAACCAAGATGCATTATGACTTGTGTCTCAATCTTGAATAGATTTTGGGTGGTAGTTAATAATGAAACTACTTTACCACCAAACAGCTATTGGCCTTAATATCATTCAACTAATTCATTGAATTGTAATGATGTGATGACATTGGCGTTGCTCTCCTTTTATTTTTCGTTAATCCAGATAGGTTTTGTGGTATCTTTGAATACATATATAACAAAAATTGCAGATATAGTTTTAATCACTGCAGAGTGTGGAAGTTTTCATTATTATGGAGTGTGGATATACTCAAAGATTATATGCCTGAGTTTTCATTAAATGTGTATTATGAATGTTAATATTTAGTTTGAATTGAGTCTCGGTAATGAAATTGGTAGCTTTTAGATTGGGGGTGTTCATTTTGTCATTTCTGATTACAGGCAGTTGGCTTTGGATATTAAATGGATTTTTAAAATATACCTATAATGGTAATCAATATCATTTGCGTTTCTCATCCAAGGCAGTCAGTGCTTCAGTTGCTATAAGAATTTGAGTTGATTTTGGATGAGACCAGTATTGTAACAAAAAAGCAGTCAGTATTGGTTTTGTTAAAACCCTCAATGCTGTTGACTTAGAAAAATTTCAGGCTTGATTTTTCTTGGTGTTTATTTTTAGAAACTTAGTTGTGATGTTAGTGGTCATGATTTCCATCTTATTTTGTTATTATCAGTTACTGAATTATTTGCATTCCTTTACATTGGTGTAATTGAGCAGATGTTTGTTTTTGAAGATCACAGTCTGAAACAATGGAAAATCTTTACAGTCTGAATTGCTGTATGACCGTATAGGATGGGATCTATTGACAGCAATGATACTTACTTAAATGTTTGGGTATAACACTTAAATTTAAAATAGCCTTTAGAGGTTAGGAATTTAAGCAAGGAGTAAGTATTTACTGACTTGAGTAATGCTTTGCCCGTTTTGAAAATTTCTCCCAAAATATTGCAGCTTCAACATCTGTTTTGTTGTCCTGCTTGAATTCTGCCCTCTCATGCATTTTGGGATGTAAGTGTAATGTTCTACATTTGAGACTGGTACAAAGTACAGTGGAATAAGTTCCTGTTTTGACTGAAGGATTAAAATCTTGTGTTTCATACCAGAAATTTCCCCACTTGCCTTACAGTATCCACCCAGAAATGATTCACATTTTAACTGACAGTTTGGTAGCTACTTCTATAACTCTTGTCTTTTTTAACATGTGCAAATGAGAAGTATATTCCAGATCATAATACTTGTGAAGAGTCTGGAAAAATCTCTTTGAAGGACCACACTTTTTGAGTTACTTTTTATGTTTTTATAATGTTTATTGGATTATCATTTTTAAAAATTCAATTACCCAAAAAGTTGTGAAAATGCATTTTGTGAAATGTCTGGAATTTTAAAGTTATTTCTAAATTGTCAGAGGATAATCTTTCTGTATTTCATGTCATTTGTTGTAAATGTTCAGATCAACCTTTTTTATACCTGTCTTTGGACACTTTGAAATAGTACTAATTTTAAACAACTTCGTTCTGTTCTGACTGTGTGGTCTATTCAGATATATCTGTGATCTGTACCAAAAGGATTGTGAGCCCAAATTGCAACCTCATGCCAAAAGCTGCTGCTGTTGTTTTCTGTTCACTTAGAAATGACCAATTCAATTTCAAATCAAAATTCTCCATTTGTACCCCCTTCGCCCAAGAAACCATTCAAAAGATTAACAAGAATAGGGCATTGAGTGATACTGCATCTGGAATTAAATTCTGAATATAATTTTCCATGTTCATAATCTGAAATTGAAGAAATTGCTATGTACGATGCTGTAAGTTCAATACTCATCCCATGTCTTGTAACTTATTGAAGTTTAATGGAATACACATATTAACTACTTGAGGAATGTGTGAGTAATTTGTAATTTTTAATATTTTGTCTTGAGTTTATAAATGGTCAAATAGATTCATGTCTCTCAATGTTAAACTATTATTTAAGTTTACTTATCCATTGTTCTTATCCTTGTGTTCTTAGACCTTCATATACTGAAACATCATAAGTTTTTCCATTCCTACAAAGTTGTATGATAGAACAGAAGAAGGCAATTAAACAAATCTAATCTCTATCCCTAATTTTAGTATGCAAGTAATTGAATACATTTTTATATCAGCCTCCAGTTAGCAAGTTGAGTTCATTATTCGCAACTTGAACAGCCATCTCAGTACATTTGTGGCTGTATAGCTGTGCTGTTAAAAGTTTTTTGTTTGATTTTTACATGCATTAAACTGAGTCCTGTCTACCCCCTTGGGTAGACATAAGATTTCATATGCTTTTTTTTAAAGGAGTTGGGGAGTCCTGTGTTTCAAAATTGATCCCTTGACACTTTAACTAACTGTGAGTTGTATTGTTTAATCATTTATCTAATTGGTTTGTTACTGTGCACAGATTAGCTGCTATGTTTGTCTGCATTACAACAGTGCTGCACTTCAGAAGTACGTAAATGTCTATAAAGACACATTGGCATCCACTGACTTTGTCAAACGTGTAATATAAACCTAGTTATTTCTTTAAGTGGCTTCTTAAAGAGAACATTCCAGTTAACTGTCATGAGTTAAGTCCCAGGTTGAAAATGTTCACTGTTGCAAGTTCCGTAGCACTGTGAATGAATGTGTCCCATCAGCAAAAGTGCACTCAACCTCATTTTCCAGCTTTAGCATAGATCAAACTTAAGCTACAATATAATGCCACTATATAATTTAAATCTGCCTTGAAGTTAATGTGCTTTAATTTTTTTGAATTTTAGCTGAAATGGTAAAGATTGTACAACTTTACTCGGCCCCCAAAAGGAAGCAGAGATTCAGTTCCTCTGACAAATAAGGCACCTAATTAGATTCTGACAACAAGGTACCATGAGTTTCATATCGGGAATGGAAGTACTACATTTCAAGTTCATGCCAAAGAATCTGTTATCATCTGGTAGTAATTTGATTTTGGTACAGCTTCTACAGTTCTAAATTGTCTAAGTCTGAACATTGGCTATGAGTACATTTGTTGAAAAAGTATTGAGTGTATCCTTATTTTGGATATTATTTTAAGTGAGGAGAAAATAATTCATGAATTACGTGTACTTTCCAAAATGGAGATTCTAAACAACTTGGATTAAGAATGCAGAGTTATATTGGACCCATTGGGTCGCATTCTTAATCGCATCTCCCACAGATGCTTTCGGACCCTGCTGAGTTTCTCCAGCACTTTCTGTTTATTTACCTGGAATGAGTGGGCTGCCTTATGAGGAAAGATCAGCCATGCTAGGTTTGAATTCACTGGGCTTTTGAAGAGTAAGAAGTAAAAGGATTGAAATATACAAGATCCGAAGGGAGATGAAAGGTCATTGGGTTAGATGGGAATATAGATTTGAAGTTACAAACAGATCAACCATGACATTATTGAATAGCAGAGCAAGTTCAAAGGGCCTGGTCCTACATCATCTTCATACATCTGAAAAACATGGAAGTCTTGCTATAAATGTACAGTGAATTGGTGAGACAAACCTAGAGTACTGTACAGATTTGGTCCCTTACATAAGAGGGATATACTTTAATTGAAGCAATCGGAGAAGATTAGGCTGATTCCTCAGATAAAATAATATCTTGAGTGGATGGATTGAGCAGGTTGGGCCCACTCTTATTGGTGTATAGAATAGTGAAAGGAAATCTTAATGAATTATTTCAGATACTGAGGGGACTTCTCAGGTAGATGCTGAGAGGATTGTTTTCACTTGTGGGGAATCTTGAACTACAGGACGCCATTCCAAAATAAGGGATCTCACATTGAAGACAAAGAAATTCCTTTACTCAGGGAATCTTGGTCTTGGCGAGTTCTGTTTCCCGAGAAGTTGGAGGCTGCATCATTGAATTCAAGGCTGAGCAATAGATTTTTGATCTGCAAGATGATCAATGGTTGTGAGGGATAGGCAAGCAAGCAGAGTTAAGGCATCAATTCCATTATTTATGGTTTTATTGAATGGTGCAAAGGACTTCATGCACCAGATGACCACCTACTCCTTTTTCTTAATCATATCTACTATTCTTTTATTCTTGCAATAAATGAGGTAGTTATAGCAGATAATTGTTATTTCTTAAGTTACTTAAGCTCTAGAGGCAGCAACCCTCTTAACACTGAAGTCTTGTGATGTCAAAGCATCTAAGGCCATGGGCCAAATGTTGGAAAATGGAATTAGAATAATTAGATGGTTGTTTTTGAACGCTGTGGACACAGTGGCAGAAGGGCCTTTTTCTGTGTTTAGATCGCTACGATTCTGAACCAGTCATTTATTTTGTGACATGCTGAACATGAAGAGTTTATATTTGATCCTCTGACTTTGACTCTAAGCATGTTGCTATATTTCACCTCAATGTAAAATTATCTTAAATTTCTGTTGTGATTTTTTTTCAATTGTTTTGGTTTGGCTCCTGCCTGTCTTAAGGAGTTCTTTTTAACAAGTTTTGTTCAATTATCCTTGATGATAGTTTTATTTGAAAAAGACATGTAAAGAAAGGAGAGCCTTGGCAACTTGTCAAAGTAGTGAAAACTATCCATTAAAATCTTGGATTTAGCAGAGAAGAATTAGGAACAAAAACAAAGTTGCTGGAAAAGCTCAGCAGGTCTGGTAGCATCTGTGGAGGAGAAAACAGAGTTAACGTTTCAGGTCCGGTGACCCTTCCTCAGAACTGATGGTGGCTGGGAAAACGTCAATTTATATGCAGAAAATAGGGAGGTGGGTGGGGTAGGGAGTAAACGATAGGATAGAGCCCAAAGAGAGAGACAGACAGTTGGACAGACAAAGGAGTTGCTAACAATCAGGCTGGGAGGGTGAGTAGTTGTTAATGGGGACTGTTAGTGACTAACAACAGGGGGTGTGTAGTGGTAGGCTATGTGGTAACAAGGCCTGGTGTGTGGGGTGGGGGGCTGGGACATGGGAGAGTTTAGGTCCTAAAATTATTGAACTCAATATTGAGTCCAGAGGGCTGTAGGGTCCCCAAGCGGAAAATGAGGTGTTGTTCTTCCAGCTTGTGCTGGGCTTCACTGGAACACTGCACCACCCTGCTCCCTGGCCAACATCTCTATCTCCGGCTTGCTGCATTGAAGTGGCAGGCAACAGGTAGTTCAGGGTCTTTTTTGCGAGCAGAACGTAGATGTTCTGCAAAGCGGTAGCCAAGTCTACGCTTTGTTTCACCAGTGTAGAGGAGACCACATTGTGAACAGTGACTTCAGTAGACTAGATTCTTGGAAATGCAGGTGAAGTGTTCCTTCACCTGGAAGGTATGTATGGGCCCTTAGATACTGGGGAGGGAGGAGGTAAATGCGCAGGTGTTGCACCTTTGCCGGTTACAGGGGAAGATGCCGTAGGGCTGTGGGGAGGTGTTGGGGGTGAAGGAAGTATGGACCAGGGTGTCCTGGAGGGAACGGTCCCTGCGGAAGGCGGACAAGGGAGGGGAGGGGAATATGTGTCTGGTGGTGGCATCTTGCTGGAGGTGGCGGAAATGATGTCTGATGATCTTCTGGATGTGGATACTGGTGGGATGGTAGGTGAGGATAAGGGGAACCCTATCGCTGTTGCGGGAGGGAAGAGAAGAGGTGAGGGCAGAAGTGCGGGAGATGGGTCGGACCCGATTGAGGGCCCTGTCGACAGCGGAGCTAGGGAATCCTCAGTTGCGGAAGAATGTGGACGTTTCAGAGGCTCCCTTGTCGAAGTTGGCCTCATCTGAACATATGCGACGGAGACGGAGGAACTGAGAGAATGGGATGGAGTCTTTACAGGAGGTGGGGTGTGAGGATGTATAGTCCAGGTAGCTGTGGGAGTCGGTGGGTTTGTAATGAATATCAGTGGCCAGTCTATCCCCGGAAACGGAAACAGAAATGTCGAGGAAGGGAAGGGAGGAGTCAGAGATAGACCAGGTGAAAGTGAGGGCAGGGTGGAAATTGGAGGCAAAATTGATGAAGTTTTCCCATTCTCGACGAGAGAGGGAAGCAGCACCGATGAGATCATTGATGTATCAGAGGAAGAGTTGTGGGTGGGTGGGGGCCGGAATAGGACTGGAACAGGGAATGTTCCACGTACCCCACGAAGAGACAGGCATAACTAGGGCCCATGCGGGTACCCATGGCAACCCCGCTTACCTGAAAAAAAATGAGAGGAGTTGAAAGAGAAGTTGTTGAGGGTGAGGACAAGCTCAGCCAAGTGGAGGAGGGTGGTGGTGGGTGGGGATGGTTCAGATCTTTGCTCCACGAAGAAGCGGAGAGCCCTAAGACCCTCCTGGTGGGGAATGGATGTGTAAAGGGATCGCACATCCATGGTAAACAGGAGATGGCTGGAGCCGGTAAACTAGAAGCTCTGAAACCGGCGTAAGGAGTCAGATGATTCATGTATGTGGGTAGGGATTGGACCGGGGGAGAAGACTGAGTCAAGGTAGGAAGAGATGAGTTCTGTGGGGTGTGAGCAGGCTGAAACAATGGGTCTAACTAGGCAGTCCCGTTTGTGGATTAGAGAAGAATTGTGGAGAAGAATTAGTTTATTTGCTCCCTTTTAAAAATAAGAAAAGTTAGATGCCCATATAAAACATCACATAGGAGCTTAGTAGTAGTTGATTGCATGCTCACTTTAGCTAGTTTCTGTCCTTTGATATCAATCAGAGGTTCTACACACGTATTTCTTCCCATTTACTTTCATTATTAGTTTTATAATCATCCTTCGAGAAAATTTCCCAGTCTTCTGGCCTACTGCTAGTTTACATTCGTTTTTGATTGGATACTTTCCTTGACGACTATTGTTAACCAAAGGTAGTTTATTCTTCATATCAAATCCTTGTTGACCTGAATAATTCTTTTGCTGAATGTTATGA